TGGGCAAGGGGGAGGGCTGTCGAGGACCAGACAACAGAGGGTCCTGCAGTCCCTTGGACCCCTAGGGCTTTCGTCTCCGCCACGGATGGTTCCCTGAGGAATGCTTAAGTTACTGGTATTCCTCTGCCTCCTGCGGGGGTGGGTGGGTGACTGGTGGCAATTGCTTCATTCACTCAGAAAACAAGCCATCAAATCAATCCTTCCTGCTGAGGGTGGGAGAACTCAGAAAACAAGCCATCAAATCAGTCCTTCCTACTGAGGGTGGGAGAACCGAAGGCTTGGCCCGACTGCAAAGCAGAAATAACGAACTATGTATGAACTGTGTGTCTAGTACACTTTTCGTGCAGTGGATGAACAGAAGCAGGACGACCCCCTCCAACACCCCCCCCCCCATCGCTCTTCTTAGTCCCAAGAAACAGAAACAGTCAGAAACAAAGAAACAGCATCTAACCCGTGTGACCCGCAGACCAGACAGACATCCCAACTCCAAGGGAGTCATTTCCTTGGGGCTACCCACATTAAATTTCGGAATTTAATGTTAAGCCGTGTAGCCTTTGGTCTCAGCACCACGTGTACCGCCCTTGAAGCAGGCAAATTTGACTCTGCTGGGAAAAGTGTTTCCTAAATAGAAGAGCGGGGCAGGGTAGGTCCATATTCATTCTTCTCAAAGACAAGCTAATGGGTCTGTCAAGATGGACGAGGAAGTGTATACAGGCCACGATTGTAGACTAGGATTGAATGTACCAATGGTTTGTGGCTTCCTTCGTCTGGGTTCCTCTGGGTTCCGAGGGATCCTTTACTGAAAAGCCTTGGGAACTGACCCCACACAGCCCTCACCGCTTTCCACCAGTTGCTGTATTTGTGGAGAATCCTTTGGGGTCCCACAAAGGCCCTTTCTTCCCCTTTGGTGTTCAGCAAGGCCTCCCCAGGGCTCCTCACCCATGCAGGCTGCCTGGGCTGCTGTTCTTGCCTTTCTCTCTGGAACTTCTGGTGTTATAACGATACAAGCTTCATGTCTTCTGGGTTGTCCACTATCGTCTAGACTTAGATTTCAAGAATCCATGGGAGAAAGGCCTTTGAAGATTTAAAAGGACTGTCAGGTCCCAAAGAAGGAAGAGAAAGCTTGGGTGTGTGGGGCATGTCACAATTAAACTTAGAAAAAAGATGAAACAGGAAACATTTTTGGCTCCTGGGGGTGGGTGACACCTTATCCTTTGCAACCTACCTAGGGGCACACTCATGGTCCCAAGACATCACCCTTAGATTTAGTTTCAGTGTTTCTAAGTCCTACCAGAAGAGTGGCCAGGTGACAAGAGCTCAGAACCAGAAGTCAGAGGGCCTGGTCCGTCTTCTGCAACAGAGTTTGGAAGGGCTGGATGAGTGGCTGAATTGTAGAATGGACACATCATCCCCTTCTCTTTGAAGGTGGAGAACTATACTGGATGTATCTTTAAGATATATGTGTGATACTGTTCCCTGATGGTCTGTGGTGCTGGAGTACACTATAGCAAGCCTGGCCAAGTAAAGAACCTCTCTCTCGTCCTCTCTCTCTTCCCCTCCCCCTCTCTCTTTATCATTCCATCTCCACAAACAAACAGTCACCACCAGCTTCCTGGAGGCTGTGTCTTATCTTGACCGCTGTCTCTTTGCAATGGCCCTACAAGTAGGAATCTGAATTAGGGGTGGAGGATTCTGTAACAGAGAAAGAATCTTTAGAAGTTTTGAAACTTCATTTGGACCACAGCACATCGGTATCCTCCTGATTTTGAAGGTAGTTGCACGTTTTAGTCTTCCTGAGGTCAGAAGATATTCTGTTGCAAGGAGAGAAAGACCTTGTCCATAGTGAGTACTAACTAGTCTTTAGGCTCCCTGGCTTGGC